AGGAATGGATACTTTTTGGGGTATTGTTTAACAGGTTTGTTGATTATGTGCTATTCCATTTTAATACTGTACCTGTTTTAATAATGTATCTTATTTTCAATTGTAAGGTTTCTTGAGCTTTTTCCTAATATACATTAAGAAAGGGTAATTTGGAGAAAAGCCATAGAAAGAGGTTTCCATTGGCCTGACAGTTACTATACTAGTCAGTGATTTCTTTCTGTTATGCAGGTCAGCTAAATATTCATAGTTTTGATTCATAAGATGAACAAAAATAAACAATATGTATAGGTTTAACAGGCAATGAGTTTGCCTTATCTCACATTTTCCCGTTACTCCACATAAGTTACTTCTCTGTTTTTTGTTAGATTTTGAATTTAAAATAAGATTCAATATGTTAGTTAAATGGACATTTTGACTTCTTCCTACTGCTCTTCAACAAACATATCTTGACAAGATGATTAAGTGTAAACTACAACTGTGGCATTTATTTAATTTCCTAAGTGCTAATTTGTGTACCCAAACATTTAATATGGTACTCTGACTTATGCACCCAAGTTTGTAAGTTAGCCCCATTACAGTAATAGCAATAAAGTATTTTTAGTTCGAGTAAGAGATCTGGCTGTTGCAATAGTTAAGTACCACATTTGGCCTGTTAGGCAAATGTCATACCAAGTTTAATAATCAATATTCACAAGTAAACTCCAGGTGTACAAACTGCCTATTGTATCTACCTTCAATCAATAAATTTGATAGGTAATAATAATAATGATGATATAGCACAGAGGCAAGAATTTCCTAGGGTGATATCTTTTATTAGAGCAACTATGTTGGGACAAAGTTAGACAACCTTTCAAATGAAAGACATTCCTGAGGAAGAAGGTCTTGCATTCAAAAGTTTGTCTAACATGTCCTGTGGCATTACCTAAAGGTAGGAAATCTTTGCCTCTCATATAATTTCTGGGTACAACATCACTCTTACACCATTGATGTACAGTACAGACATTTTCAATTAGAGTACAATATACAACCAATTAATCTAAATTTTAATTGCAGACTATTACTGTAAGTTACTGAAAATGGAAAGAGAGAAATTCTTAGGCATACAGCTGTGCATATAGCTTTAAAACCAATGCTATACAGAAGCTTATAGAACATGGATCTTAAGTCATCTTTAAGTTGAGTAGCTAAGAGCAAAATCAGTAATGATAGCTTCCTCAGAACAGAAAATATGGTACCAAAATTGCTGTGGAGTGACAATGTAAAGAACTTTTCAATTATGCCTACTATTAAGCCTATGATATTGTCTTGAGTCTGGAGCCTTCCTGAAAAGGTTTAAGTGTAATACAATACCAATATAAGCTGCTTTTAGCCTTGGAGTATGTTCCAAAAATATTAAGTGCCTCCGTTGCATTGCTTTTCAAGGTCATCAGGGAAGCAGAGTGTACAAAAGCCCTTAAAGCAGTAATGACTTGAAACCATGGTGGTTTGATATTTCATATATTTACTGATACTTTGCTTTTTAATGATATGGAGTACGGCATATACAGTTCCTCAGCACCCTGGACAATTATTTAAAATTAGAAAATTAAAATATGTTTCTAACTCAGACTCACCCCCTCAAAGCAGCTGTTCCTGATGAAAATAATAGCACCTTGCATCCTGGAGAGTACTGTATCCTTCCCTAACACTCCTCAAAGACCTGGAAGACATGAGCCCTGAGGCATTCCCTAAAGGTTGGTAAATCCAGACTATTTGAGACTAGAGTTCCACCCCCACAGACTACTTTACAGTCAGCCTTCTCTCATAAACATGTCCCCTGGAAACAGGTGAAGCAGTACGCTAGAAAAGGTATTTATTTCATACTATTTAAGGCCTATATGTCAAAACCAGGTGCTAAGGTGCATGGTTGACAGCTGAGAGATTGCAGGTTCAAGGCCATAGGAGAAGCGTTCATGATGGGGCCTGTCAGATTCTAATGAATCTGTGAATTCTGCTAAATACCTTGTCACAAGGACATGAATAAGGAAGGAAAGGTCAAAATCTACACATCATATATCTATATATATGTATGTATGATGCTCAAAACTGCAATGTTTCTAATCCTCATCCTCTAGTAATGTAATCATCTACTCATCCTCCAGTAATGTTTTGTAACCATTTATAATTAAAACCTTTAAATAAAAAGTAATGAGAGAAATCCCTCTTTCGGGAAGAAATCAAATTAAACTTTCTCCCAGTTCATTTTGTTTTGGGCTCTGAATCAACAAGGTGTTTAGCATATGAGTCACCCTACTGAAGATTTACTTGTACTTAAAGGCAGATGCATGCTATACCATCTTGCCGAATAGGGGCCTCCTATATTACTTATTATCTCTTAATATCAGGACTGAGGTGATAATTTTGTTACAGTTGTCTCAGGCTGGCTGGAACATAGCTCTCTCTGTTGATGCTACCTGGACTCTGTCTTACTAGCAAGCATTGAAGAAATGCAGGGCGAAATCCTGTTCTTCTAGAAGTCAATGGCAGTTTTTCTATTAATTTTAAGTGCAAAAAATCTTTGGGCTACTATGGCCAATCAGCTAATCAAAATAGATTTTCCTTTTTCAGGTGCTCCCTGCCAGAAGTATCCAGACTCAAGACACCTCTATTAAGACTCACGGCACCCCTTGCAAAATGTCCTCTTAGCTTTCACTCATTTTTTGAATATGGAAAAATAACAGCCCCATTCTTCTACTGCAAAAAAATCAGAAAAACCAGGTCAGAATGTTTTTAACATTATGGATTCCTATATAAAATCCCTATGTTTATTTTGTGAATCATATGTAGGTGTTTGCACACCTAACAATGCTAACATTTCGTGGCCTCCTTAAAAGGATCTCATGGCACCCTAGGGTGCCGCAGCACCCTGGCTGAGAATCATTGACCTAGCACAGCCAAAACAGATACAATCACAATCTCAATCAGATCTGTATTGGTACTGCATACATATTTTTTCTTTATTAGAATTGTCCAAACCAGAATCGGTATATTCTGAGACTTCCTTTGTATCTCCTATTTTTTCTTTTATTAAATGTTTAATGATTGATGCACTTACAATCTATCAGAGGTCTGAATCTTCTCAATGCAAATACAAATTCCCTTCTGTGTTATCATCAAGAACCTCTTAGAAATAAAAAATAAAAGATGATGTTGTAATGTTTTCCACATCACTATTCTTTTCCAGTTCTCCAATGGAAGATGGAAAAAAACCCCAATCATGCATGCGCATACATAATTGTAATATACAAGACAATAATAAAAATGATCTTGTCAACTTTTTATATGACCACATAGTCAATGCTATGGATGACATTAGGAAATAGCATAAAGATTGCTGTCAAAGCTAGTCCTGAGAATTTCAATTGCTCAGGAAGACAATAGCTATTTATACCACTCAGTACTTAAGACCTGTTTCAGCAAAGCAACCTAGTACATTTGTAGAGTACTTGAATAGTTCCGGTTTGCATAAAATTAAGAAAATGCTTTAAGTGTTCTGCTGAACTGAGGCCTTAATTCTGGATAGGTATGATAGGTAACCTAAAAGATTTCCACAGTCCCGTGTCAGCTCAAAGGTTTGATTTCCCCACAATACCCTGCAATACAGATTCTTGACACAAGCGATGATGCCTGTATAAAATGTTGTATCATTCTGCAGCAATTAAGCCATGTGTTATAGCAACACAAAGACCAGTAGCAAACAGGATTTCCACCCCCAAATTAATGTGAGTTTTCAAAGGCAAATGATTGTAACATGATGTCCAGGCAAAGAAAAATCCCTAATTTGCATTAAAAGTGCCTCGTGATGCTAACTTTAAAATTTCCTAATGTAAGTAAACATTACAACTCCCTTTAGTTGTGCATTCAGCTTTTTGCTAAAGTTTCTTATTCTTTCTTTCTGTTAGAGTTCAATACATTGGGATGTTCTTGTCAACCTCTGTTCTGTATGAGTTCTGGTAACTGCAAGCAAAAGAAACCAGACCCCATTTGCTGAGTTTAAAAGGCTACCTGCTGTACATGTTTGCCAGCTTCCAGTAACCCTCAAGAGCTCCCCTTTACTCTACCCCCCATGATCTCAGAGAGTTCTTTCAGAACTCCAGTGCTTTAGAGTTTAGCTGCTAAAACCTCTTTTTCCAGACAAAAGCATCCGCAGAGCATCCTTAAGTGAGAGCACTGCAGCAGATCTTAAAAGCTTTAACAACCTGGACTTTTTCCAAAAATCCTCACCTACCTTCTCCTCCCACCCTCCCTCTTCCTTCCCTTCCCTTCCTAAACCTTACCAAGCAGACCCATATCATTAATATTTCAGTATCAGTTATTCACAGGCATTGGCTACACTGCACTGCATCTCATCAATAAGAGCTAGCACAGGCTGCGTAGTTCACCACTCTGCCTTCGTCCAGCAGAGGAATAAGAGCAAAAGATAGCAAGAGACAGAGAGGGAAACATTAAACAGCCATTGAGATTGCATTGTGCAGTGTCCTGAGGTGCCTTTTTACCACTATTCCTCAGTCAAATTCTGCAGATAGTATCAAAATAATCAAGGAAGAATGGATGTCTTTAAGAAAGGTTTCTCCATTGCAAAAGAAGGTGTGGTAGCTGCTGCAGAAAAGACGAAACAGGGAGTGACTGAAGCCGCAGAGAAGACTAAAGAGGGTGTGATGTATGTAGGTAAGAGACACTTATTTTTAATACTTGATTGAGCATGAAATGCTTCATCTTAACTTGAAGAATGTTGCACAGGTAAAGCTTAGAACTGGCTGGCTGGAGGGCTGAACCCCATCCCCAGCACAGATACACTCAGTGCCTAACTCTGGGCTGTCAGAACCTTTCCATGCCTGTTTCCTCATCTGTAAAGCAGAGATAGTGAGTTACACTTACTTCAAAGGGAGAGTTGCCAAGTGCAAATGCATTTAGTGTCCAAAAGGCACCAAGATCCTCAGATGGAAGATATATGTTATGATTATTATTCACTGTTTGCTTTCAGGGTGGATCACAATCTCAATTTCACCTTCAACCAATTAGATGTGCAGTGACTGCAGATGTGGCGGCTCATGTTAAATTAGGCTAGTAGGAATGTTTGTTTCCAGCACCACCACCACACAGTTTGTTTCTGGCATCCTTCTCTATAAGCTCTGAGCTCTCTTTCCATTTTCCAGACTCACATCCATCCATCAGCTGCCTTTCCAAGAGGGACAAAACTTAAACTCCTCTAAATCTATGTTGCTCAATGGCTAGGTGCTGCATAACAGCATGGGCTGTTCCTTAGAAACATTCCTGGCATAATGAATTCTCTCTGTTTCCATTAACCTCACACCAACCATTTGAAAGTTGTCCTTGAAACCTGAAAACTACACCATCCGGTGATTATGCATGTAATCCTGATGCCAGAGAAAACCAGTGAACTAAAATATAGCACTGTTTTTGTAAGATTGCTTTCCCATGTCATACTCAGAAAATGATGGTTGCTATTTATTTGCTGGCTGTTGCTAAACTATGATTTTTAAATAGGAAAGTTTACATACAACCTCTTCCTGCTGTTAACACTGCATTATCCACAGAGTATCATTGCTGTATTTATAGAGCTTGAGATATGCATTTTCAAACTGCAGCAGAAATTAAAACTTTATTTGTAGCAATCTGGCCACATTTTAATTTCCAGTTTTATACAGCAATCTACTGACAAGGTACAGTGGATCCCACCCTTTACAGTATATATCTGGTACACATTTTAATTTGGATCTGAAATTCAGCACTGCAGAATCCTTTAAAAGACCTTTAAAAATAACTAAAAACAGTGATTTGTTAATCTCACACCTAACTGCCAAATGCTCAGATTGTTCTTGTACCCCATTGCTCATTTCTAGGCAATACGAGCAAGGTCAAACACGAACACTCAAATTTTTTATAAGTGTCTCTTCCAAAGAGTTTTAACATCTCCAGCCTTTGACTGTCATTTCATTTTTTCCAGTCATATTATCTGTAGAATATTCTGGCATGATCTTATGTCTAATCTTTTCAACAATTTTAATGCCTTCTTTTAAAGTTAAATTGTTGAATAAAAATCACGTTAGAGACCAACTTTGAGGCTCATGGGTAATTTTTAAACTCACATCAGGTAGTTTAATCAGGATTATAAAGTGCTCTCCATCTTTTTCATGATGCTGATTCATGGTCTGATCCTCTCCTAAATGGTGCTTGGGGCCTACTGCATGCCAGAAAATGTTCAGCCCTTTTCATAGGGGTCAAAGACTTCACAGAATGGGGTTGTTAAAAGCCAAATGATGATTTGGTTCAAACAAACAGAAGAGGTACATTCCTTTCCCCTATTATAATGGATGCAGTCACAATCTGCAAGCCAAAGCACCTTCCCTTGCTGTTTACCCTTTAGGATAGTTATCATGACACCCAATGAAACTCATTCTCTCCATATAACCTAAAAACAACTTCACTGTTTTAAGACACATTGTATAAAGGAACTTTAAAAGCTTAATGAGGAAAGAAGGCAGCTCTTGTGTAGTTGGAACCACTCAGGAATATTGAGGTCTTTTCCAGATATCAGGGGAGAGGCCCCAAACCAAAAGAAATTAAAAAAAAACAAGAGGGTGGATGGAAGAGGTTCAAGGCTCCTTTATTTGAACTATATTTTTAACATTACTTTGGTCTGATTAATCAAAAGCCACCACATCCCTAAGATTTCCAGTTAGCCAAGTGCCAGTATCAATACTGATGAGTCACTGGAACATGAGGTAAAATTGGTAGTCTGGCAAGATCTACTACAGGATACACCTTCCTGGAGTCTACAGTGTTGTCATGGTCCACTTGGCATCTTCACTCACATCACTAAGCCAGAAAGTTTCAGTGTCATAATCTACACTAGTGCTTGGGTGATTGCTAGCCTGTGATAATACTGCAGTGCGGTTTTAGGTTGAGGCATCAGCCATAGGTGTTTCCATTAGGGACAGCCATTCTATGGTAACTATCCAAGGGGCAAATGAAAGATTATATAGCATTTTTCAAAAGGAGAAGCACAAGTCCACCTGTCCGTGCTGCAGCTATTATTGAGATGATGGTTGCTGCAGATTCCTTCACAGTCATGGCATAAACAGCAGCTAACTCACTGTTCCAGATTGTTCGTTGGTGTAAACCGGCATAAAATCTACTGAAGTCAGTGGCGCCATACCAGTTTACACCAGTGGCAAATCTGATGCAGTACTGTTTGTCAGGTGCTGAGAAATACCAGGAAAGATCATCATCATCATCACATTCAGTAGGCAATGAAAAAGAAAAAATAAAATCCAGATCTTAACAAAGAGTGACTTCATACATCAGTCAGGAGATACCCTTTATGGATAAGGAGACCGCAAATGCCTCAAACATAAGTAGTATATACCCCATCCTGTTTTGTTGTTTTTGTAAGTGCCTGTTCCTATTACGCAGTTCTACACTATCACTATACTATAACTATTTACAAAACAAAGCTCATTAACATCTTGTAAAGCATAGGTTTTATTCCCTTTTCCAGCAGAGACAGGGATGGTATGAACATGTAAGTATACACTGAATGCTCTTCAGTTCACTAGCTGTTGCTTGCAGGCAAGTGTTGTGCTGGAAGGTCAGACTACAGGCAGCACATTATGAATGTTGACGTCTGAGTCATTGGGTGTGGTCTTGAGAAAATTATTTTTAAAAATCCATACTGCTACAAACTGCAGTGAATCTTTGCTGCTGTCACTTCTGCTTCTTTCATGAAATGCACTTAGAAATTTTTCTTTTGCCAAGCTCCCTCCTCTCATTATTTCCCATTATACAATAAGATTTTTAAAATTCATAGATATATACAAATCCTTGTTCCTTTCAGTCAAATAGGAGTTCTAGCAAAAAACAGATGTATGACAGAAGAAAAACTAATTAAAATTCTTGTCTGGATTGATATGTTTACTGAAAAATTAAAAGAAAAGAACATACAAAAACACAACAATCCTAATACATAAATTTAAGAAAGCTAATTAAGCAACTTGCTTTCTAGCAAACTGTTCTTTAGATATTGAAGCAACAACAAAGCAGGACAGGAAATGAATAGCTGTGCCTGGTGCAAGGAGTGCTTCTAGATTATATTAAGTATTAAAACTGGTTTATATTGGAAAGGGATAGCCTAGCTGGATGGGCACTTGTAGGAACAATGAACGTGAAAGCAGGGTTACATATAAATAGTGGGGAACAGGAGAGTCCCTGTTCTGCCGAGCACTACCAGGAGTAACTAGGAATAACGGCCACAAGTTGACTGAGAGTAGGTTCAGGCTAGTCATCAGAAAGCACTACTTCACAGTCAGGGTAGCTAGGATCTGGAACCATCTTCCAAGGGAAGTGGTGCTTGCTCCTACCTTGGGGGTCTTCAAAAGGAGGCTAGATAGACACCTTGCCGAGGTCATTTGACCCCAGCATTCTTTCCTGCCCATGGCAGGGGGTCGGACTTGATGATCTGCTCAGGTCCCTTCTGACCCTACCAACCATGAAACTAGGACTTAGTGCACTGCGCATATGTGGGGACTTTGTTAATGACTTTTGGGATTCATAGATTGCAGTCATAGTTTGTTTGCAATTCTGCTAATTGCTGTTATATAGGAGACTACTGCAATATGCCTTCTGGATATGTTAATACAGTGGGGGCTAACCTTTTTGGCAGGTATGTCACAAGCTAGTCCCTGCACAGTCCTTAGAGTGGCACTGTGACCCCCCTCCCCTGCCTGATCTGCTGCTCTGCTTTCTGCTTCCTGGCCTGTCACTGTTCTCCCTGCTCTCTCCCCAGTCTGCACTGTGCCTTTCACAAGAGGCTGCCGATGCCACTTTTTAACAGAGCCACTGCAGGGGCTTCCAACCAGCAAGTGATCTGACATAACATGCTGCAGCACCCAGGTACAACGGGGTCAGTACAGTCTGTAATTTCGTTCTGTAGGGGCCAGTTCTGCAAGATGCCAGGTGCCCCTACACTTTAGCACCTCACAGGACTCGGCAACTAAGTAACTATTTAAGAATTCATGCCATACATATTCAAAATTGTACTTAGAAATACCTGCAGCCTTACCACTACCATTACAGTGCATGGCAGTCTCAGAGTGAAACCTCAGAAAGACTTTGGGTTAGATCCACAAAAGGAATTATATCTGTAAATTTCACCTAATTCCCCTTTTAGGCTCCCAAGGCCAAAACCACAATTTTCAAAACCCTTGCTTAGCATTCAGCTCAGCCTGGAGGCACATAATAACCACAGACGCTCCAGTTTTAAAAATTACAACACCCTAGGTGCCAAACGGTGTGTTTCTGAGATGTGCAAAAATACTACAGTCTCTACAGTGCTGAACAGCTTGGCACATAGCTCATTCACAAACCAGGACAATTTCCAGCCATGTCACTTAGGCTGACAGGTTTACCTGATCTGGTAGATGTGCTCAATGTGTAATAACAAGAGAACATGATGGTGTTCCCTTTTATGTAATACTTCAGTGGTTTCAGAATTCACCCAGAATGTGGGAGACCTGGATTAAATCCCCTTTTCTGCAAGAGGGCAGCTATACCCACCTTTCTCCTGTCTTAGGAGACTACCCTAGTCACCAGGCTATAGCTTTTTTGGAGAGGGAGCATTCTGCCTGTCTTGTTGAGGGAGTTCTGTTTAGCATGGAATGAGTAAAGGATTATATCTCCAGGCAGACCAAGCAAGAATCTCACCTAATGGTTCAAGCACTCATGTTCTAAACTAGTCATTGTACTGAAGAGTATTTCACTATTTTATATTAAAGTAGTCAGTGATTCAGTAACAGAGATCCAGATCTCCCCCTTCCCAGATGAGTGACCCATCACTAAGCAACAGTGTCATGCCCTCGTCTTTCTAGCCCAATTTATTTTTAATCCTTAATCTTTATTTACTCCATGCAGACACGCAGCAAGTTCATCAGGAGGGGATAAGTGGGTTTCAAATAACACCACAGGAGCCTGCATCTTCAAGGTTTGGACACTCTCCTGGGAGGGAAGACTTTGAATTCTCTTATGGAGAAAAGGAAATGTAACCCAGGTCTTCCACATTCTGGCCAAGTGCTATATTCACTAAGTGGATAAAACAGTATCATCTTCATTAAGGGTTTTTGTGAAAAATCTGAATCATTAATTAGGCTTGCTCAGAAAATACATATTGAATCAAAGCCTGCAGGAAATATAAGCAGAGAAACACCTAATTTGTGGATCCTGACAAGAATTAGGCATGAGACAGGTATCAAGTTGCTCAGAACAGAAAAGACTGATGCATGGTGCTTTAGGCAGACTAATTTGGATTTGCTTAATGACAGTTCTGATAAGCCTACTTTCATACTAATTAACTTACCTGCATGCCATTTGGACATGGCTGTGCTCTTTCCAAGTTCAAAGTGAAGTGGTATGCTTGAGGGCACCAGTGTTTAGCACAGGAAATATACACATCACATTTACTTGAATACAAGATGCAGCTTTTCCCCCCAGTCAGCATGGGGGGAAACCTCATTAAATACATTGTCATTTATCTTTGAACTGCTGCTGAAACAGCATATGCCCAGTAAATAAAATCAACTATCAAGGAATATCATGAATAGTTTGCTGGGTCTATGTTCAAGTGGCTTAGGGAGTTGTGGTAGAAGGGCACAGGGAGGCATCACTTTTAAGTGAGGTGGCAGCCTCTGCTGTTAATTTCAATCAATGGTGTGACACAGGAAAAAAAAAGATAGTTTATACTATATATAAGTAGGTATACAAGTGCTGCTTAAAAATATGTTTTTGAAGTCCCTGTGCTAAAGCTTGCAGCAGTTTTTAAAAGTCAAATGCATAAATTTTGGATGAACTAGTCTATGGGTACTATATGCAAATAACTACAGGTATATTTAATTCAAGGTCAGTTTTTTCAAATTTGTTTCTCACTTCCATGTGCTCAGGGAGAGCAGGGTCTGGCATTTAGGAGAGTGAAAGGAGCTGCAGGGGGAAGAAGCTGTAGGGGGCAAAGGACCTACCAGATCTGCCAGATTTATTTTCCTTGGTGTAGCACTGAGAGGAGGCCAAATTCAAGACAAACATCCAATTAGATTCTATACCTGAAAAATTATACCAAATGTATACATTTTCCACATATAGAATCTAATTATGGGGAGGGTCATCTTAAAATCAGGGTCATCTTTATTTGAGTAAATATGGTATATGTATATGTAGCTTCAGTCCTTTGTGAATCTAACTCTGGGTTTCTCCAAACCTACTCCTATGTGACAAAATCCCAGTTCACTGTATAGAACTGTATAGACCCTATAAAATAGGGTGTGCCACAGATAATGCTAACTTCAGATCAAAGTCATATTTGAAAACATGAAAAAGGAAATTATATTTATTTCTTTTCAATAATTGTGATTGATCTGCCTACAATGTATAAAAGCTATTTCTTAATTTGAAAAAAATATCAGGGAGATTGTTTCTTACTTGGCACTTAAATAATCAATCCTTTTCAGGTGGAAACATCTTCAAATAAATGCACATTAACATTTATTGGAGTAATCCTACCACTATTCCCATTGAAGAGCTACTCCAGAGCTCTGCAGCTGTTTCAAATATATTTCAACAGCAACAGCTCAGAACCACCATACCAGAAGAGAAGAGAAAGTAGTCTGCTTATAAGAACCATATGGGATAATATGGATGATCATAGGGTTCTATGTTTCCTTTTACAGGCACCAAAACCAAGGAAGGTGTAGTACAGAGTGTGAGTTCAGGTAAGAGCTCAACTTCTACAGGTTTGTATAAATCAATATGTACAACCATGTATTGCTGATAAGGCCATAATTCTTACCTGTGTAAAAATGAACAAACATGCATGGCTTACAGGATGCTTCATTTACTTCTAGAGCCTGTCAGAGAATGGGGATTGGTTCTGCTTATGAGATAATCAAAGATGCTTTCCAAATGGCACTGGATAATGCTGCAGGATGTTGCGCTTTCAGTACTGGTGAATGGACAAAAATGTTTCATAAGCAAAGCTGGTTGAAAAAACTACAATCTGACATTTTCATGACAGGAACTGAGAAAAGGTTGGATTGAAGATGTCTGGTACACTGCAGACTACTATATACAGAGCCTCTTTTGTACTAATGCTTTGGCCCACTGAAGACTGCTAAGTTTCAATACCTGCCTATTCTTGAGCTAAGCAGTCTAGGTGAGAATGAGCCCCCTTGTACTTTAAAATCAAAGGGTCTCTATGCAGACTAGATTATAAAAGTCCAGATTAGGAAGAGTGTTGAGCTAAATTCTGCTATTATTTCAGAGCAATCATAGGCTTAGTCAAACCCAATTAATTGAAAACTGATTTTTAACTTAGCTCACTAGCCTTTTGTTGACTTTTTGTTGATCACTAGTTGCTGAGAAGACCAAAGAGCAGGCCAATGTTGTGGGTGAAGCTGTGGTGGCCAGTGTGAATACAGTGGCAAACAAGACTGTAGAAGGAGCAGAGACCATTGTAGCAACCACAGGAGTGGTAAAAAAGGTACTTTTTTTCACTCGAGACCTGTGAAAGAGAAGAGGTTTGTTTTAGCATTACTTTCCTCAAACATTTAGAGAAGGTTTCTGAGGCTCTTACATTTTGAGTTTTTGTACCCACTTTTAAAATCAGAAAACCTGTTGTGATAATCAAGCGTAATACTGTTTAATAGAATACTTCCTATTGCTACATAAAGAGGTACCTCCTTATCTTCTGCTATGTAACACAGGTTAATATAGATGTATATATTAACTTAGAAATTCTTCAAAGGTAGCGTTACTCTGGGCATTATAGTCAAGATTTTCAAAAGTGACTAATTATTTGAGTGCCTCCATTTTTGTTCAGATTGTTTAATTGGATCTGGCTTTAAGAATGCTATAAGCTTCTATGCTCTACATGTCAAGTTGTCTTGTGTTAGGTCATACGGTCTATAAGCATAGAAATTAAAGTTATTAATATGTAGTAATAGCACCTGACATCTAAGATGATCTACATTTTTTTACATCAATAGTTCTCAACCTTTATAGACTCAAGGCCCTCCTCAGAAAATGCCAACTCTTAGCTTTCATTTTTTTTTTACTATGAAAAAAATGATAGAGAAATTCTTCTGTTGCAAAGAACTCAGAGAGACCACAACTGGTCAGCAAGTTTTTGCCACTATGGATTCCTATTTGAAATCTCTAAGTTTATCTTGTCAGTCATGTGTAGGTGTTTGTATACCTAACAGTGCTAATATTGGATGACACTCTGCAGCATCCTTAAAAGGTTTATATCGCCCAGGATGACAAGGCACTCTGGTTGAAAATCACTGCTTTACTTAGGGAACCAATCTACAAACCAGATCACAAGATTGGGTACCAGGAACATGTGAGTTTTATTCCCAGTTGTACTATATCTGTTCCTTCTGTGGCATTAGGCAAATATCTAATCTGCCAGCATTTGCTATCCTGTTTTAAATGGACCAAATAATATTTTTCAACCTCAGTGGTGTTTTGATAATGAGTCAGTACATATTTGTGAAATGCACATATGTTAGAACAGGATATTCACTTTACTCAAAACTACTGCAGGTTTGAGTCCTGCAGAGCCATAAAATATGTTGTACCAAGCCACAAAGTATGCATTTCAATCTGAGCTGTCCCAAAGGCAGTAGGTACTCAGAACTAAACATTATGGTTTAACTACAGCATTTCTATCTAAAACTGGCTCTATACCCAAGGTGTGACCCACCCCACTTGGGAGGGTCTGCTTAGACACAAAGCTTTGCTTCAGATCACCCTTTGTGTTGATGTGTAATTTAAAATCAAGTATAGAATTAAAATATACTAAAGCACCTTTTAATTTTGATTTCTTACTTTTGGGTTCTGTCATTTTCACTGAACACTCCAGAGTGGGGGAATGCTTTTTTATAAAAATATTGGGCTTGTCTCTACTCCCATTGAAGTGAACATGTTCATCTTCCATAGACTAAAGTCAGAGCAAGACAGGGCCTCAAAAAATAATTGCTGCCAGGTGTCTAAGCTGTGGAGACAGTTGGTGTGATCAAACTTTGAACGCACTTATTTACAACTTTCTTTCAGCCTTTTTGTAAGGCAGATCTCTGTTGCAGAACTGTGAAGACAGCTTAGAAGAACCTTATATATGCACCTCTTAATCCACTTCATTTTCAAATACACATATAAGCCACTTCTCCCCACCTCAAGAGAGTTAATACCTGTACACCTTAATTAGGACAGTACTTATTTGTCAACAATAGAGGGCGGTACTAATTTAGACCAGTTCTATCTAGTCCCTACTCTCCAGACACTTGACCCCTAAGAGATGCAAGATTGTCCTACCCTTCCTTTCCAATTCTGTGCTAACTTTGACAACAAATAGGCATCTGTTGATAAGAACCATGTGACCTAAATTATGCATTGGTTAAGCCAGTTTTAAACAAAGAAGCTCTGTTCTCAGATACCATGTGAAAGCTTTAGTTGGCTCAAAATTAATGGATGAGAAGCACATAAAAGAATAGAACTTCCTGGATGAAGGCAACATTGTTCATTAGGCAAGATGCTTTCCCAATGTGACAGTAAATAGCAACCATATTTGTAGTAGGCCTGTGGGAGTAGGCAGCTATTCAATCCGGCTTCAGATCCGGCCGATTCGGATACCAGCGATCTGATCCAGAGCTCTGGACCGGGTTCCCACTTCAATCCGGCCGAAGCGGCTGCACTTATCGCCTTGAAACTTGGCAGGCTTTGTGGTCTGAGCAGGGGCTACCACCCCTGCAGTTTTCAGCCCACTGCACCTTAACACACACAGGGTCACCTATGTCATGAGTTTTGCTTGTCAGCAGCTTGAGGTGAAGTTCCACCCAAACCCCTGCACCTATCACCTTGAAACTTGGCAGGCTTCATGGCCTCAGCAGGGGTGACAATCCCTGCAGTTTTCACCCCACTGTGGTGTAGCTCATACACGTGACATGAACTTTGCTTTCAAGAATTTGGGGTGCAGTTCCCCCCAAACTCCTGCACTGATCTTCTTGAAACTTGGCAGACTTTGTGGCCTAACCAGGGGCCACCACCCCTACAGTTTTCACCCCACTGTGGCTTACCACATACACATGACATGAGTTTTGCTTTCAGGAATTTGGGGTGCAGTTTCTCCCAAACCCCTGGACGTATCTTCTTGAAACTTCCCAGGCTTTGTGGTCTCCACAGGGGCTACCAATGCTGCAGTTTTCACCCCCCCTCCCACCCCATGGTGTAACACATACACTTGACATGAGTTTTGCTTTCAAGAATTTGGGGTGCAGTTCCCCCAAAACCCCTGCACCAATCTTCTTGAACCTTGGCATGCTTCATGCTCTCAATAGAGGCTACCATCTCTGCAAGTTTCATCCAAATCAGACAAAAAACAAAAAAGTTATAGATATTTAATCGATTCCCCATTATACCTATGGCCAGCTCTCCTAAGCGGCTCCAAAGCTTTTCCGAAATGGTTCAGAAAGCCTAAAGAAGCCAGAACTTCAATCTGGACATGCTGCTTCAGATGCAAAAGCATCCAAAGCTTCTCCGGATCCGAAGCACGGTCTGAAGCCTTGCTACAGCCCTAATTTGTAGCCCTGTGGAGCCCTTTGATAGAGCTAGTAGCTCTTTGGGTTTTTAACATGTTAGTGGGCCGAATCAAGAGAATTGACAACGACCAAAGCTAGACTCAGACTACCTAGCTATAAATTGAATCAAACCCAAGTGAGACTGACCAAAATTGTTCTAATCTTGTCAGACACCTAGGGCACCTATACACATGCAGCGGGGCTGCTCCAACGTGCTGTAATTACAGTGTTTCGGAGCAGATTCGATTAATTGAGTCTGCTGGAGCATGGTAATTACCGTACTCCAGCAGACTGCAGCATCACATGTATCAACATTTGCACACTGCAAAATGGCAGAGGGAGCACTTTAACTGAAGCTCGTTTGACAAGCTTTAGTTAAAGCACCCCCATCACCATTTTTTAGCATGGGGACACTGATTCACATGACATTCTGGGCTGTTTAATTAGAGCAGCTCCAAGAACCACTCTATTTCAAGTGCTCCTCTTGACACCCTTTCCCTCTCCCCAACACTCCTGGAGCACATGTATAAATGCCCTTAATGCTGTATTTGCTGTTAGGTCAGGAAATCTAGCAACTGCGTGAAACTAAACTTCTATATAAGGGATGAACTTGGTATTCCATACCTTATGGAAGTCTTTTAGCAAAGAAGAGGACTTACAACTACAAGCCATGCATTCTATGGTCTTGTAAAACAGGTAGAATGGAAAGAATGCAGTGCCAGAGGCGGATTAAAATTCATTGGGGCCCTAGGCCTGGGCCCCCCACCACAGCTTGGGCCCTGTTAACCATAGTCCAGGTCCTCCCTCCTGACCTGCGCCCTGCCCCACAGTCGCAGACTCTGTCCCCAGCTGGCACAGCAAGAGCAGCAGCCAGAGCAGAAGCCAGAGCAGAACATGCTGCCCCCCAGGCCCAGGGCAGGAGCTGTGGCTGCCCCCACCCACAGGTCCATGCAGGATCCAGAGCCTGGGGCCTGTACAACATTGTCCCATGGCTGGGTGGCACTGGGGGCACAGTACCTCAGTCTGCCAGGGGACCCCTCAACCCACTGCAGGTCAGTTTGGCTGCAAAGGTGCCCGGCAAATGTGTAGGACCTGGCTGCACTGGGACTGTCCCACCACCAGCAGATCCCGGCCATGTACCGTGCCAGGCTCCACTCCCTGCTGTTGGTGGCTCCAGTTGCCAGTGGCTCCAGCTACCCCCACAGCTCTGGCTTGGTTGCACCCTGTGCCCTACACCCTGCCTGGTACCTGGCACCCATGGCCTGCCATGTCATGCCTGTCCAAACTGGGCCAGCCACCAATTTCATCTATGTCAAGCTGCCACCCTTCCTCTCTATGCCTGCCTTCAGGCTCTGGGGTCCCCTGGACCTGGGCCCAGCTGGCCTGTGCATTAATCCACCTGCGACCTGTGCTGGCATGGAGCAAGACAGCCGGACTGGGGAAGTACAAACTGGGCTTCCTTATGACAGCAATGATGAATCAGCCTCTGCACGTTTAGCTTATGATGCATATATTGGACTAGCAGTGAACAGAACTCATGTTCACCCTTTGGTGGAGGGGAGCAGGCAGATGCCTGCAGTGGCTGAGGCCAGAATGCTGAGGGCACTCCCACATGCCTCCCAGTGTGTTGGACATTGCTGAGGGCAACCAAAAGCAGCAGAATGGGGGCTATCCTTCACTGGCTGTCGGGCACATGTCTCCCCGCCTCTGTCATCTGTGAGGCAGCTCTCAGCTGCAGGCAGCCAGCAGAAGGAAGCATGCTTTTTTCCCACTCAGTGGCATGGGGTCTCTGGGCTTTGTCCAGGGTGAAAGGTGCGGAGGTTCACCCCAGGCAGGACAAAGGTGGAGGAAGTAAGGCTTATGAGCTGTTGTTGAGAGGCAGTGCCAGCAGTGCACCTGGCCAGGT